TATATTTATATATGGGTATTTACGGGTTGAGAGTTGCATATATTTGGGAAATGAGTGGTGGATTTGAGTTGTGGAGTTGTTTTGGACTTTGGGATTTTGTGCTTGAGTTTTTGGTTTCTGAATTGTGAAACTGCATGCTAGAGCATTATTTTTACATGGTGGGGTTACTATGTTGATTTAAAGTGAAACTTTATTTCTGTCCACTCACATATTTCAGTTTTGCGCCCCCCAGACAGTAATTGCTTTCGAAGGCGTTCGAGCAAGTCACGAGCTCCGAACTTGTCGTCAGTTGTTAGGGTCTGTATAAATTCTTTCTACTCCCCTGTTTGTTGTAAACAAATTCTGTAGACGCTCTGTTATCGCCCATGTTAGGCTACTACTTGTGGCCGGAGGCCATTATGTGTTGGATTGTTGTATGTTAAAAGTATGCTGGCAGTTGGGTTATATTATGGTGTAAATTATGCAGGTTGTTTATTGTTGGGTTTGAGCACTTTGCAGGGGAGACTCTGCCAAAATTTTGGTAGAATGTCTTGGATTTTTAGTAAGTGGGCCCGGCATCAGTGTGATGTCGGCACCAAGACGGGATCTGCCTCGGGTTCAGGGGAAATTCTGGGGCGGGTCCTGTCAAAGATGTTATTAACATTATCATTGAACTGGGCTCTTGTTGTTTATCTTATTCAGCATATTGATTCCTCGTGTTTACACCGCCTTACTGGTTTGCTGTAGGATTATTTTGATCTCCTTAGCCAATTTGAGAATTATATATGTGTTGTGATGAAAATGTGCAGGACATTTTAGTAATGAAATTAGTTTGAATTCTTATTCATGAAAATTAGTAAACAATAAAAATGGGAATCAACCCCATTCCTTTTCTAATTCAATGTGTTTAGTAAACAGCTTAATGGGAATGATTCTTCCCATATCGATTCAGCAGTTCTCCGATTCTTAAATTCTCTTATTCCTTACTTTCTCCATTACTGATACGTAAAACGATCACGTATGATTGACATATAATCCTTTACGTCCTTCATGTATACCTTTGACTTCCATTCATTTTTATCTAATAAGGGAAGGCAGACAAGTATAGGTTCTCCCCAACCTCATCCCTTTCCCTTTCCCCCTCTCTTTTTTTTTTTTTTTTTGGGTAGACTTCTGACTTCTAACCTCCTAAAAGCGAGCCGGGGGTCGGCGTCCCATACCTTTGAAAGCCCACCAGCTAGCATTTGGAATCACAAGAATAGCGAACTGGGGCGAGCCCTTTATGATACTTTACATGTGAGGCTAGCTAGAAAAGATTTACAGAAAGGACCGTGGCCTACTTTTTAGAAATTTTGAATGTCCTCCATGCTAGCGATATACTCATACCTGAAACTCAAATGCTTCACGCAATAACAAATACTCATCATTTTTTATTGTTAAAGAATCATTCTCAAAACATCAATGGGATCTAAGTTAGTGGAGAATGGCATTAACTTGCATAACAGTATTCTCAGGTTCGAACAAAAAAAAAAAAAAAAAAAAAAAACCGTTCTCAAAACAAAATCTCATGTAATTACTAAATCAAGCCAATTTTTGGATCAAACTAAAGAAAACTTAAAATTAAAATTAAACCGGATAATAGTTCCAAAACTCATTGAAAAGACAAAGAAAAAGATAAGAAAGTTTCACTAAAACCACGCGTCATTCTTATGCATTTTACTCAACTCAACAGTACATGATAGAACGCCGACATCACTAAAAGTATGGGTCTTCTGGGGCGGTACCATATCCGCTCTTTTTTCTTTTATTATTCAGTCGGGACCATAAGACCATAGGCTTGATTGACATGAAAAACGTGCACTGGTTTTGAAATTCACGTTGATGCATATGGCTCAATCATATCCATGGGGTGACCTACGTACGTATTCTGTGTCTGGAGAAGATGAAATCTCTATGGCCAGAAATGGCTGCATCCTCCATCCACCAGTACTATTATTCAGGAGTACACACACGTGTCAGGCATGTATTGATTCTGTTAATAGTACTCTTAGTCTGAGGTTAAGCTTATCTGAAATCGGTTGATCAATTACGTCTGCGCACTAGACAAAAATTCTCATCTTCTTTAATTTCTCCATCTCTTTCCTTTGGGATTCTCTTCTGATCAATTACGTCTGCGAAAAAATAAGTAGATATTCAAAGTTGGGTGCTTTGGTTTCATTATAAATACTGCAAGGTTTTGTTCAATTTGTCACACTGCCAAGAATATTGAATCAAGAAAGGCAAAACCCCCCACAAATTATGACAATGAAGTTTCCAAACTCTCTACTAGTGCTGCTCATCCTCTCAATCCTTTCATCACTCTCAGTATCATGGGCAACTTCAGAGCCAGTTCCCATTAATGGCTTTCTCCAATGCCTTCCAAAACAGTTTCATTCTGGCCACCCAATCTTTGAAGCCGTTTACACCCCTCAAAACACCTCTTTTCGATCCATTTTGATGGCGCGCATTAAAAACCGCAGATTTTCAAGCCCTACAACTCCAAAACCTCTGGCCATTGTAGCAGCCAAGCACGAATCTCATGTGCAGGCAACTATTGTTTGTGCAAAACAACATGGATTGCAAATTAGAATCCGAAGTGGTGGCCATGACTATGAGGGTCTATCGTACGTATCGCATGTCCCCTTTGTCGTTCTTGACATGTTTCATCTCCAATCCGTTAATGTTAGTGTCAAGGATGAGAGCGCTTGGGTTGAGTCTGGAGCTACTCTTGGCAAAATTTATCATAAAATTGCTCAGAAATCCAAGGTTCATGGGTTTCCTGCTGGGGTTGGACCAACTGTTGGTGCTGGTGGCCACTTCAGTGGGGGAGGGTATGGGAATTTGATGAGAAAATATGGCCTTAGCATCGACAATATTGTCGATGCTAAACTAGTTGATGCAGATGGTAGAATCCTTGATAGAAAGTCTATGGGAGAAGACATTTTCTGGGCCCTTATAGGAGGTGGAGGAGGTAGCTTTGGGGTCGTTCTTTCATGGAAACTCAAGCTTGTTCGAGTTCCAGAAAAAGTGACCGTGTTCAACGTTACAAGGACTTTAGAGCAAGGCGTTACAGATGTCCTTTATAAGTGGCAATTTGTAGCACCCGTGCTCCCTAAAGACCTCTTCCTGAGAGCAAGGCCAGAAATCGAGAATAATACTGAGGGCAAGAAGATTGCAGAAGTATCATTCATCGGTCAATTTTTGGGACAAACTCACGAGCTTCTTCCATTGATGAACAAGAGATTCCCCGAATTGGGTTTACGACGAGAAGATTGTCATGAAGTGAGTTGGTTTGAATCCGTTGTATTCTGGGCTGAACTCCCACTTGGAACCCCAAGATCTATTTATCTCAACCTGAAAAACAAACCAATACCCTTCTTCAAAGCTAAGTCTGACTATGTGAAGAAACCAATTCCAAAAAAAGTTATAGAATACATGTTTAAGGCGATGCTTGAGATAGGGAATATATGGATGGAATGGAACCCTCATGGTGGAAGAATGAGTGAGATTTCTTCATCAGCAACTCCATCCCCTCACAGAGCTGGAAACCTATATATGATTCAATACTATACGTCGTGGTTTCAAGACGAAGGGATTGAGGCCACCAACAGTTACATTCACCTAACAAGAAAGTTGCATGAAAAGATGACTCCGTTTGTGTCCAGGAACCCGAGAGAGGCCTTCCAAAACTATAGGGATCTCGACATTGGCGCCAATCTGTACAACCAAAGTAACCTTCTAACTGCTAGAGCTTACGGAAGCAAGTATTTTGAAGGTAACTTCGAAAGATTGGTGCGTGTGAAAACCATGATTGATCCTCACAACTTTTTCAGGCATGAACAAAGTATCCCACCTATTTAGAGAGAGATTGGAAGGTTTAACAATAAACATGTATGAATCTGGCTAGTGATCCTTGATAATGCTATTGATTTGATGTATTGGAAAGTAAAGAATAGTCTACAATAAGAATAAGCCACCTCGAACTTTTTGAATCTTATTCATCACCCATCATATATATGTACAAAAGACTTAATTTTGGGACGTTCATTCATAAAAGGTGACAATGTTCTTAGCAATCAGCCAACAACGTCACCTTATCCACACAACCTCTACTATGACGGCTATGCCCGATATTGGGAAATTAGAGGCTTATTGAAAAAGACCCCTTATAACTTTGCAATAATGTTCTTCGGGAACATGGAAATTTTGAAGTTTTAAAATTAAACCGTAACTTTTCAATGTTAAGAAAAGTTACATTTATTGGGATTAATGGTAGTTTGTTGTTGAGATGACTGGTTCATAAGAGCATCTGCAATGATGAGGGTCATTTCAATTTTATTAAAATAAATTGAACTTTTGACTTGCTGTGGTCTATAAGAGCATCTCCAAGGGAGATGTCAAATACCAAACATCAAATTTAAATTTGATGGCTGATATGGCAATTTGACATATTGTAAAACTCTTTATCCAACCAAGATGTCAAATATACATTTTATTTTATTATTTTTAAAGGCAGGTGGGCCCGATATTTAAGAGTAAAATATTAAATAGAGTTAAGAACTATACATGGAAGAGGAGAGAAGAAAGTGGGTTCAGCATTAAAATAATAATAAAAAATAAAAAGACATCTCAACATCTTGGCGTCAATTTTGACAGCAAAAGTGAAGGATGTCAATCCAACTAGGATTTGGCATCACAGTTGGAAGGCTTAAAATGTCTTTTTTTTTGGGTTAAAACTTGCCACATTGGAATTGGCATTTCGGTTGGAGATGCTCTAAGAGCATCCAAAACCATTTGACCACTCAATTAAATGGTTGTTATTATAGTATTTTCTTGAAGCATTGTGTTGAAGAAAAACTATAAACCTCTAAACATAATTTCACCACCATTAATCAATTAATGGGGTTTTATTATTTTAGGTTCGACCCATTCGAAACGCAAGTCTCTTAATTACAATCCCTTGCTACAAGGGAAAACCCTTTGATTCCATCATAAAGAAACAGAATGTATGTGTTTGGTTTTGCGGCTGCTCCCAAGTTTAACCTCAGGATGCCTACGTATCCTTTGCAGGAATCAAGCCACTCGTAGTTCAATGATTCGCAATGAATAAATGAATCATCGCAAAAGAAGGAATTTGAATGAATTTGATTTAGGAGTGTTTGAGTGAATTTAGCTGAATAAACCAGGGATTCGATATGGAGTTGTGTTTGGAATGGTTGCATCTAGATTGAATCTCTAGATTGCCTACGTACCCTTTCGAAGGGATCAAACCAACGTAGTTCGGACTTGATTTGTGTAAAGGTAGATATTTAATTTGTGGGGATTTGGTTGCGGTTGCGTCTATTGAGATGCTAGACTTCCTACGTACCCTTGATGGGATCAAACCGGCGTAGTTCCAAAGTTTGGAAATTAATGGGTAAGTGTTGACGAATTTGGTTAGGATAAAACCAGGGATTCAAATTTAGTTGCGGTTGCGTCTATTGGGATGTTAGACTGCCTACGTACCCTTGATGGGATCAAACCAACGTAGTTCCAAAGGATTGGACCTTCAAAGGGTAAATGATCCTTTGAAAGAATTTTATGTTTGAGAAATTTGAATTTTGATCTCATTGAAATTTGCAGGGTAAATGACCCATGTGAAAATTTGGAATGGTTTTGTACCATCTTTTTATTGTTAATGTCCAAAGAAAATTAAAAGGCATTTTAATGAGCCTATTAATTTACTCACATATGGTTTTAAGGATTAATCCATTAACCACATAATTTATTTGGACCACCCATAAAATATTTTGGGCTTTTGAGAGTCAATGGATAATTTGTTTTGTCAGCCCATCAATTTGTTTTCGGGCCTTAACATTTATATTAGTTGGCCCATAAACAAATAATCCATGTCAGAAAAGCTTTGAGAATCAGTTGAATTTTGAAACCGATATCTATTCGGAGTAGTAGAGATTAATCCAAACTGAGTTACTCCCATCTTTATCTGGAATAGTTTAAATCAATTCAAACTGGACCAAATTATATATATCTCTCTTCAGCTACTCATCTGTCACAATCACTACGGAGCTTTGGGTTTGAAACGCCAAGACCAAGGTAAATCCTTTCCTTTTACTCATGTCTGTCAAAGTAGACCATTGTAGCCTATTAAACTACTAATTGAAAGTCTTGGAATTTTGAGAAGCCACGTCTGTTGTACAGAACTTTGTTTTGCTACTTTTTCCTTTCCTTTGTTTTTTTTGTGCTTTTCTTCTTCCTTGTCTTTTTGTTTCTTTTCATCTTCCTTGCTTTTGCTGGTCTCTCCCTGCCTTTTCCAACTCTTTTTTTTTTGTTCTGACACAATAACATAACCTCAACTCCCCTTTATTTTAGAGTAGTCCTGCAAGTCATTTCTCCTTTCTTTTCCTTATGTGCAACACGAATTGGGTTTCTTTGCCTAACACAACATGCACAAGCCAAAGAGCTATTTGTATATTTTGTTGAGTTTGGCAGTACCAACTTCATGGCTGAAGCTTCTCCCATGTTTTAATCTCAAAGTTCAGCCACGAATCCATGCTTGACCTTTTTTTTTGGCTTTTTGTTGTTTCCTATATACTTGTGGCAGACTTCCACCAAAATGGGTTTTGTCTTTACCCATTATGTGTTTAGAGTCCTTCGGATAAAAAAAATATTCATCTTTGGTTCTGTATTGACTTGACAGGAAGGCTTTTCCCTTGTTCTTGGCTTATGTTGCTTTCGGGTTCTTCAACAGCCGCAACACAGGAGGCTTCTTGGTGAGCCATTCTTCCTTTTGCTTTTTTGCTTGCTGATGCTTTGTGCATCCTTTTCTTTCCAATTTGATTGGAATTTCTAAGGCTTTGCATATTTTCCTTTGCAGACTCATATCATTTGAGAGGGCCACCGTACTGCCAATTGAGGTGCTGGCTTTGCTTTGTCTCAGTTGCTTCATGTTTTGCCAGCAACAAAGTGAGAAGCTTTTATGATATTTGCATTTTGCTACAAAGGAGTGTTGGCTTAATAATTTTCGTGGGCTGTCTGGCTTGGGATTTTTTCTTTGTTGGCAAACTTTGAAGCACAGAATGTGGGTGTGAATCATCAGCTTTTGTAAGCTTTCTGGCACTCTATGATTTCTGCATCTCCTTTAATATATTTTATTCTGTTTATGCCAATGGGTGAGACTAAAACAGAGTTATTGATTTTCTCCATTTGCAGCACGTTTTGCCACCTGTTCTTTCTCCAATTTGCAGATTTGGAATTTTACTCTGCTGAAGGTGGGTTGGGCATGTAATGAAACGTCTGGACTGTTGATGTTTTCTGTTTTTGGTACTCAAGAACACTCGCAAGGTCTTCTCTGAGTACCACAATGTGCCTGTGGACACTCACAAGGTGTTCACAGCACTTGTACAGTGGGGTTCTTGCAGAAGCCCATCTGTAATTCACAACAGAGAGGTCCTTGTGAGAGCTCTCTTTGTGTAAGTAGCACAATTATTGCCAATTTGGGAGGATTTGTTCATATTTTTCCACTGCTGAGATCTCTGTTGATATGATACATTTCTTGATATCAAACTTGGAGGAAGCTCAGGCTTCTGTACAATGGCCTCACATGCATATTTTTTTACCTGCAAGTCAGTTGTACATAAAAGGATACTCAAATGAATTTGTTTATACCTTCTCAATGGTATTGTGACAGAGCTTCGTATCTCTTTTGCTTGTTTCTGTTCTTTGGATTTCTGCAGCAGTTCAGTATTTTCTTTTTCTCTTCTCCCCCTCTTTGCCTCCTTTGGTTCCTTTTTATAGACCCAGAAGAACTAATAGAGTGGAGCCAGTTATGGCCTCACGTACTGCGTGGGTGGGAGTAACTTCCCATTTTCAGTCACCCTCTCAACTTCCCATGACAGGACCCGCCCCGGAATTTCCCCCGAAACCGGGGCGGACCCCGTTTTAATGCCGACATCACACTGATGCCGGGCCCACTTACTAAAA